CAGCTGCAGCAGCACGCGCCGCGGGTCCTGCGTGTCCACCAGCCACGTGCAGTGAAGGTCCGAGGGCCCACGGGCTGCGCCAAACAGGTCCGGGGAGGCGAAGGAGCCGTAGAAGCTGCCCAGCCGCCGGCCACACGCCAGGTCGGGGCAGCCGGCCTCGTCGGAGCCGTCCCCGCAGTCCTGGGTGCCATCGCAGCGCCTCTCGGCGGGCAGGCAGCGCGTGGAGCGCGCCCCGCTGCAGGGGAAGGTGCCCCCCGGGCACAGGCTGCCGGGTGGCTCAGAGGCAGGCGCCGAGCAGTTGCCCTCGTCAGAGCCGTCGCCACACTCGTCCACAGTGTTGCATTGCCACGGCCCGGGCAGGCACTTGCCGTTATCACAGCGGAACTCGTCTGCCTGGCAGGACGCCTGGCCCAGCTTCCCTGTGGGGTGAAGAGCATGGGGGAAGGGGGCAGTCAGGGGAGAGCAGAGCCTCCCTCCAGCGTGGGACCGGGCGCCAGGAGCAGGTAGGGTGGTTCCCCTGTCCCGGGGTGGCAGGGCCTCTCCATGGCCACCCGAGGTGCAGAGACCCCTCAAATGCCAGAGTGGGCTCATCCCTGACTTGACCGAAGGGTGAAGGGTGAGCCACTCACTCTAACCAAGTCTATGAAGTGGGGTCAGGGAGCTCGAGGGGCTGACCAGTCCCAGTCCCCCGACTGACTGGGCTGCTGGGGAAGACCCTGCAGGGAGCGGGCCAAGAGAGGGTACTGCCTGGGCCCTTGGAGCCCTTGGGCTCTGTGGTGCCCTGCCCCACCGTGCCGCCAGCATCACCTCGGATGTACGAGAGACGGAAGCCCTGGGCTTGGCCGGAGCTGGAGGCGTCAGAGTGGAAGAAGATCCAGACGTGGTCCCGGGCAGAGATGAAGGCAGGCGGGATGGCAGAGCCACAGAGCCGGAAGGCCTCCTGGCGGGGCGGGGCTGCTGGGCCCAGCATGAGCCAGTCCAGGGAGCACTGGTGGGACTCCTCCACGTCAAAGTTGCGGAAGCTGCCGGGGCAGAGAGGAAGGAGGACCATGGGTGTGGGCGGGCAGGCAGGGAGCCCACACACGTGAGCTTACGGCAAGGGTGGCCAGCCACACTGGTCCCTCTACTCCTTCATGCTGGGCCTCTTAGTGGGACCCCAGCCACCATCCAGGGGCCTGAGGGCAGCTGCATGAAGAATCAGAACAACCGTGGACATCCCCATTGAGGCTCTGGGAGGGCCTCACCTTTCTGCCCTCCATCAGCACACACAGTGCCCACCCCAAAGCCAAAGTGGAGGGGGAGTCAGTTCCTTCCCCTGACACTGTCTCTTCAAGGGCAAGACCCAAGAGTCCAGATCCCTCCCACACTGGGTCTGCTGGGACAGACCTAGCACAAACTCACAGGCTTATCCAGTGAGGGGGCACACGCACACAGGGCTGGCCTAGCCTACATCTGGGTGACAGCTTGTCTCCTGGGGAGAAACGCTGGAGCTGGCCTCCCACCCAGGCTATAGGGCAAGCAGGCCACAGGGCCAGGGAGTACCCTAGAAGTGGCCAGTAAGGGTGGAGTCTTTGAAGAAAGAGTGCCTGAGAGCCACGGCCCTGCGGCCACAGGGAAACTGGCAGGACCACCAGGAGAGACCCCCATCGTGCGCATCACATCCCTGTGCTTTGGAGCTAGGGAGTACCCGGGCCTGCTGGGCTTTGGCATGCAGGAGAGTGACACCCCAGCCAGACACCCCATGGCCACCCCAGGCCAGGGGTTTCAGCCTCGGTTCCACTGTCTAGCCACCTCATCCCAGCACCCTCTGCACATCCCTGCAGCTACAGCACCGGGCTCCTGCCTGGCTCCCTCTCCTGCCGAGACTGCCCCCAGACCCCGGGGGAAAAACCCTGCTCTAGGCTCCATGCCAGCCTGGCCTCAAGCCACCTGCAGGACACTTCTGCCACCTCAGGGACAGCTGGACCACGCCAACCAGTCCCCAGGGCTTCTCTCCCTGGCCGGGCGGAGGTGATTGACAGCCCCCACTCCTCATGAGAGAGGCTCTCGCAGAAGTCCAGCAGGAGAGGCAGCCAGCTGCAGGGACCCACAGAGCCCGGGGCACGCTCACATGCTCACACGTGCCCACACACATGAACTTACACACATATCTGCTCACAGCTGCCCTCTGTACCTGTTCATACATGTGCTCACTCACATGCACGCACTCACACATGCTCTCATACATGCCCTCTACACCTGTTCATACATGCACTCACATGCATGTACCGTCACACACCCACACACTCTTTCACATACTCACTCAGCCTATGTAAGGCCCACGGAGTCTCCCTCTGATGCCCTAGGTCCCCTTACCTGATGGTGATCATATCCCCACGGTCACCCTGGATGTACCAGCTGCAGTTGGTGCCCGGCGGGTAGTTGAGGGGCCAGGCTGGGCTGTAGATGACACCGCGCCGTTCCGTGTGCTGTTCCAGCTTTCCGCTGCAGGCAGCTGTCGGGAGAAGAGGCTGAGAAGTGCTGGCCTCCCGTTTGGGTGGGAGGTGAGGTGGGAGGCCCACTTGATCCCCCCCATGGCTTGAGCACAGGCCTGCCCCAGGGTGGGATCAAGTCAGATGAGGGTAGCCATGGCCAGGGCAAGGCCAACCTCAAGACTTCATTGGAATTCCGTGTGGAGGGCCAAGGACGCACAAGGACTCGGGGCAGCCTCAGCTCCCAACCCTGCCCCGTGCACCAGAGTGTAGGTCTCATTCCCCACTCCCAGCAGGGCCGCGAATGAACCCACCGGCAGTCCCCTTGGCACCTCCAGGGTGCAGCCTGCGTGGACAGTCCTGCTGTGGTTCCCTGCCTGCCCTCCCTGGTGTAGGTATAAATACAGGCCTCAGCCCTGGGAAGGGAGGGGCTTTGCTCACCCAGCACATATTTACTGAGTAGCTACTAAGTGCCCGGCACAAGTACTAGGTGTGCTGAGTAAGACAGTCAAAAGCCCTGCCCCATGGAGGCTGCCGGGAGAGCAGACATGCTGATCTCTGGGTGGAGTAAAGATCATAACACAGGCCTGCAGGGAGGCCAGTGTCCAGATGTGGCTGGAAACACAGGCTGAGTCCGCTCACACCTTGTGTGGCACTGGGGTTTCATCCTAAGCATAAGTGGGAAGCCACTGGAGGTAGATGTCATAACCAGACAAGGAGACAGGCTCAGAGAGGATAAGTGACCTTCCCGTGGCCACACAGCAGTAGGTGGCAGAGTCAGACTCGACCCTGGTCCTCTGGTAGGATCGGCCTCTCACTGCCATCCGCGAACCCACGCACCAGGGACAAGTGCGGGTTATCATTCCAGCCAGAATGGTGAAGCAGTGTCACCACGCCCAGCCCTGCCAGCCTCACTTCACCCTCTTCATTATCCATGCCTCTGCTTCCAGCTGAGCCCGCCTAGCCTGAAGACTGCAGAGCTGACCCCGGTGTCAGGCAAGGTCCCTGCACTTGGCCACACCCACCCCTCCCAGCCCCTGCAGCCCTCCACCACACCACCTCATCTGATCCTCACAAAAACCTGTGGCAAAGGCAGGGCCCATTATACAGATGGAGAAACTGAGGTCAGTAACACCACCTCCTCACTCTCCCACTGCCTGGCGCCTTCCACTGTCGCCCTAGAAACCAGGGTCTCTCTGCTGGCTCTTAACAAGACTCTTTGGGACCCCAAACTGCACGGCTGCAGAAAGGAGAGTGGAAGTCTCCAGCCGCCTCCCGTGCTCATAGGACTGTGACCTGGAGGTCCAGGTCATCTGATACTCTGACTAACAGGGAAGTGGAAACCCCCACAGACAGCTCACAAAAGCCTCAAAGGACTAGAAGAGAAACACCACACTTAACCCTAAAACACAGCTGGGCACCCTTGGGCTGCCGTCAGAGCCCCAATAGTCCCTGGTCACCAAGGCACCAGCCAGGCCTCTCTGCTTGGCACTCACCTGTGGCCCGGAAGGCCAGCCTTCCTGACCCTCAGATTTCTTACCTATTAAGCAGGAGCATTATTGCACCTGCTTAATAGGTAGATTAATAGGTAGAGCACCCAGGAGGGGAAGGACAAGGGCCCCTTCCCTCTGACAGATGAGCTCCCCCCCCCCCCGAGACCCTGGGTGCTGACCAGGGGGCCTGGGAGGTGTGAGGCTATGAAACCAGAAGAAGCTTCTCCTCCTGGATGGTGCTGGACAAGAGATTCACAGGCAGGGAGAGCCTAGTATGGCTGGCTCAAATCTCTAAAGCCATGATTAACGAGAAGTCAGGAGACTCCGTCAGCCAGGGTGGGAACCACCCTTTGTTGCCTTGACCCTCAGCCCCTGGGACAGGGCCTGGAGCAAAGCAGGGCCTAGTCTGTACCTACCCTGGCCAGGAGGCCTTCCTCAGCGACAAAACACTCAGGCCAGGGTCCTCACCCACAGTGGTTGCAGAAAGCCAGGCCCGTGCATCTTCTACAGGCATCACCTGCCTCAGCCAGAATCTTCCTCTAGACCTACGTCTATCCTCCTTTCCAGAGGCAGGCAGCCTGTCTCTGGAACCACCAGGCAAGTCAGGAGCAGATGACTAGACAGCAGCCAGCCCAGCCGTACCTCTCAACAAAGCCCCTGACAGCATGTCCCCCACACAGCCTTACCCCTGAGCACTCCCCAAGGCTGCCCAGAAATTCCCACCTAGGCGGCAGCGAAAGCACTCAGTTTGCTCTTCTCCAAAGTGGGGGCACAGAGCTCATGTCCTCTGCAGCCATCAGCCTGGCCCACTCACAGTGACCGTGGAGCAAGAGAGAGGGAGCTGCGAGCTCTGGTCAGGGCCTCCTGACTGGACGCTGCTTGGCCATGAGCCTGGAGGCTGCCACCAGCTCAGACAACCAACTCCAGGCCTCTGCATGACGGCAGCCTCACTCCCACCCCAACAAGCCACCCTGGGACCCGGGCACAGGTGGGGGAAAGGCCTCACAAATCCAGTTCCAGGGCCCACATTGCCAGGCACTCCATTCCACCCTAGGCCTCACCTTGTCCATCAGTAAAATGGAGCCCATGGGTGCTGCTTGTCTCAGAGGTAGTCGGGAAATTCTAGGAAAGTGGCAGCCTCTAGGCAGATATTCATGTGATGGGGTGAGTGGGGGTACGCCCTGCGTGGGTGAGGATCCCACAGAGTGTGTGATGATGGGTAGGTAGTGACAGGTGCTAGGAGGACCGTACGTTTGCAGGATAGAGGGTGTGCGGTGTCGGGGCAGAGAAGCCTGTCTGAGCTTTAAATGGAGGTGACCCGTGTTCACTCCGGCAGAAGACCGCTCAGCCCTCAGGACTGGGTGGCCCTGCTCAGGGGGGCAAGGGATGAATGAGCACTTCCAGACCAGCGAGCGTCCTTCTTTCCCGGTCCAAAGAGTCGTGAAATGCTCTTGAGGAAGCATGAGCAAGGCCCGATAGAGCACAATTTGCGGATCTGGTTTCCAGAGGCAATCAATACTCCAGACAACCTGCCTGCTCTAACTGCACAGCAGAGAGCTGGGGGCCCCACCCCGGTGCTCGGGGAAGCTGCCAGGGGAGTGGAAGGCAGCCCGGACACGCTGTCCAGGTCAGGAAGCTGGCGCCACGGCAGCCACACGGCCTAGCCCAGAGTCCGGGGTGCGGGAGGTGACGACCTGCGGCAGGACAGGGTCTGAGAGGCCAACACCCGTGAGGTTTCCAGGCAGTCCAGCTGGGCCCTCAGGGGTGTCTGGGTGGTCACCTCAGGCAGCCAGAAGCTGCTCTCCAATGCTCTTAGCAATGCTAGCGGGACAGAGCTAGACTCCAGGAGAGCTAGGGCCCCAGACTGCCACCTGTGGCCACCTAGGCCACCACGCAGTCAGGCTCCCAGGGCGCCACGCATAGGCGCCCTGATGCGAACCGCAGCCCCTGAAACTGGGGAATGAGGGCCTGCTGAGAACAATGTGGACCCTGGCTAAAAACAACCAAATGTGCAGACCTGGATGGCTGTCTTTGTCTCCCTGGCACTACGAGGGAACCTTGTCCCTATAGCAACACTGTTCTAAACCTGGGGCACGGGCATGTGGCAGATGTGTTTGAGGTCACATGCCCACCCACCATAGTAGCAGAAGGCCTCACCTGGGGCTCACAATCTGTAAGACCCGGCCCCCCTCCCCCCCTCCCTCCCACTCTCTACCGTGGTCATAGACCCCTGACCCCAGCAGGGCCAGTCAGCCTCCTCTGGAAAATTGGGATGGGGAGACTGGGCAGTTAGCGGTGAGGGCCAGGACACCAGGCAGCACTGGGGCTGGCTCGGTGCTGAGTAAGGCAGGGCCCCGGGCCAGCTGTGTCAGCAGAGGAGGCCAGACAGCAGGGAGCAGGAGATGATGTGCAGGGGGAACCAGGAGGGAGCCTGAGGAGCCACATCTGAGAGTTGGGCCTCTGAAAGCAGCCTCTGTGGGCCCTGGGCCTCCCCATCCCAGTGACCCTGGCCAGCAGAGATCCCTCTCCCTGAGCCAGCCTCAGTGGCTTTCTGCTACGAGGCACTGAGCAGAACAAGAAGTCCCAGGTGCCTCCAAACCACTATGCAGCCCTGCAGACAGCAAATGAGTCACCGACCCCCCACGTTGGAGACCATACATTCTCCCCTGCTCCCTAAGGCCCTCCTCAGATGCCCCCTGGTGGCCCCAGGGCCCTGAGGGCCTGGGCTTCCCCGCAGCAGCCCCCTCAGCAAAGAGCAAACACCCTGATGGCCTCAGTCTCCCCTCCTGCTCCTGACAGTCTTTGCTGGCCCTGGCATTGGGCCAGAGCACAAAGATGGCCTGTGGATGGCTGGACCCACTCGGACAGGAGGAGGCAGGGAGGAGCAGTTCTGACCGTGTGTCTTAGGTTCGGTAGGTCTACTTGGCAACCACCGATCCCAGGGCCAAAACATCAGCCAAAGTGTTCATCTCTCTCCTGCACACCAGCTGGCCTGAAGCTGGTCTTGCCCAGACAGACCAGCTGAACCCAGGCTGAGCCACCTACTTTTCTAACTCACAACCAAGTCAGTATTTTCCCTGCTCTGGGTGATCCTGGCACCAGGCACCCGGCAACTGGACCCCACCCCTGTAGCCTCAAGCCTGCCAGAGTCATTCAAACTAGCCCATTCTGAGCTGTTTCCCCTTCCCTGCCTTGACTTCCCCCCTCTCAAGACACATAGGTAACAAATTTGTCAATGGCATTGGCCTCTCTGTGCCATCACCCATTCATACCTTTATAAATTCAATCCCAGGTATAATTTTAAAACAGGCAAGCATCTCATGGTGCCTTGTGGCCTCAGGGAACCCCACAGTCTACAGGAAGCACAATCTGTCGATTCTACTGGACCTGTGACAGTTTGCTAGTGGCATTAAGCCACCATGTGTCATTGCCATGCTGAGCACCTTGCCTCATTTGCCCATTGACCCTAATAAGCAGGCTCTGAGGTAGATCCTGTTATCGCATCCATTTTAAAAAGAGAAACTGAGACTCAAGGAGGTGTAAGCTTGCCCAGGGCCAAACGGCTCCTTTGTGATGCAGAAAAAATGCCCAAGGACTGAAGCTGAAAGAGGCCAGCTGACCTCAGGGGTGGACAGGCCCTGAAGGCCTGTCCTCAGAGGTCACTAAACCAGAAGGACAGGGAGGAAGGGAAGAAAGAGGGAAGCATCTTACTCACCTAAGGCAGGGACTGCGCTGCTGAGCCGCCCAGTGAGGACGATGTTCACTGTGGGAAATACAGGGAGGAGTCAGTAGGGGGCAGTGGCTCTTGGGGACCCAGACACCTGCACTGAGCCAACAGCAGCCCTTGATGGGCACAGGACAACATGGCCAAACCCCCGGCTGGTTCTCTTCATCTCACAGGGCAAGGCCCAGAGTGCTGCTGCCACAGAGACTTCCACTCCCACCCGGTCCTGCCAGATGGGCAGAGGGGAGGACCACAGAGGGTCTCAGGACCCACCCCCCACTCCCACAGCCAAAGAGAGTGGGGTGCAAGGTTGGCTGCACTCTGGCTGCTCCCCAGGCCTGGGAATTCTAACTCCTGTAGGATGGGGTGTATATCTGTCTCCCCTGTCCAGCTTGGGAATTCATGCCTGGACCACCCTGGTTCAGCCTGGATAAGGGCTCTGCCTGCAAGGGGGCCCCTACCACTTGGAAGGGCTTCCTCACTCTGAGGAGCCTTGCCAGCCACGGGGTCTACCAGCAGTCAGGGCAGGAAGAAGCAGTTCTGATTACCACATTTTATAGGGATGCACAGTTAGCAGGATTCACGGTCCACTCCCTGTGCCATGCTGACCTTGAGAAGAGAGGCAAAGAAATCTGCCACCTACCCCCTCAAGTATCCACCTGCATGGTCTTTGTCCTTTGCTTTCACCTACTGCTTTCCTGCAAGGGGGTTATAGGACCAAGAGGGGAATATGGGCAAACTCAGCTTCCCGGGGTTCAGGATGCCCCCTTCCCCCAACATCAAGGATGCCAAGGGAGGCAGAGAGCATCTCTGCCCAGGTCAGTCCCCAACTGGTGAGGAAGCAGGGGCAGATAGATGCCCCCTCTGAAAACACCCAGGCTCTGCTAGGCAGAGCCCATGCCACATCTGGGCAGGGAGGGCCCCCTGAGGGAAGCCCAGCACCCAGCAGCTCAGAGTCCAGAGAGCACATGGTACTAACAGACTGGGGAGTGGGCGCTTTGGAGGGGTGGGGTCCCAGCCCTTAGCCATTCACACAGCTGAGGCAAGGGGCCTTCCAGAAGACTCAGAGCTCCCTGATTACTGAAGGGCAGAGGAGGGTGCAGCTGAACGCTGACAGGTTTCTTTTTTACTATGTCATTTCAGTAGCTTCAGCAAACCTACAGGGCTTACAGAATCTTCACTAGTGACACCATAGGGTGTCCCCTGATGACCCCAAGCTCAGATAATGGCCTCCCTCCTCCTCATGGTAAATAAAGGAGCCATGTGGGTTGAGGATTTAACTCCTTTCTTTCCCTCTCCCCCACACAGGGCGGTGGAAAGGTGGACAGAAAAACTCCCGGACAGGGCAGGAGTCCCTCCCTGCCCCCCTCAGGTGCCAGGCCTGGACAGGTCCCCGGGTCCTCCCCAGACACACCACTCGGGGCTGAACAGGCCTGCCCCGCTGGGTCTAAGAGACACAAAGGGAAGACAGGAGTCACTCTCCCAGCTGCCTCCCGCCGGCATCCTCAACGCGGCTCCCGCTAGCACCCGCCCCCGCCCCAAGTCCCGGCAGGAAACAGTTCCTTCTTCTGGGGAGTAC